TGCCAGAGCCCAGGAGTTCGAGACCAGCCTGGGCAACTTGGTAAGACCTCGTTTCTACAATAAATCAAAAAAATTAGCTGAGAGTGGTAATGTGTGCCTGTAGTTCCAGCTACTTGGAAGGCTGAGTTACTCCAGCCTGGCACTCCCACTGCACTCCAGCCTGGGTGACAGAGTGAGACTACAAGTAAAAAAAAAAAAAGAGCAGACAGATTTACAATTTAATTTATATACATCTATGAAATACAGTAATATAAATATACTACACATATGTAACATATTTAAATTTGCACAGTAGTCTAGCTTAATGGCAGCTTTATATGGCTTAAAACCACACAATCTGCATATTACATGGCAGTTCCTTCCAAGTCTTTATCTTCTGTTCTCTTTACATTTTCCTAATCCTAATTCTTAGCTTTCTGCACTTTCCATTTGATTGTTATGGGAACCCAGCAGAAAATAAACAAGCAACTCACCTGAGATTTGATCATTGTCTGATTCTCTTCCAATAAGGCAGAGGTCTGAGGAATCATGGAGAGAGAATCAAATCTCGAAGGGTAAGACCTGACATCCAGCAGTCTATAAGCCACCACCAGAAGTCGGGTAGATAATGGCCATCCTGTGGAAGAAGGTTGCTTGAACCTTATAAAAGTGTCAGCAAGCACCATGTAGAGAAGGTGTCAGCCTTTAGTCCTTTTGCAACTATAATGTGGTCACACAGCACTTGGACAAGGTGTATTTTATTTTATTTTTTTAAAGACAGTGTCTCACTCTTGCCCAGGCTGGAGTGCAATGGTGTAATTATAGCTCACAGCCGTCTTGAACGCCCACCTCAGCCTTTTGAGTAATTGGGATTACAAGCATATGCCACCAACACCTGGTTAACCTGTATTTCCAATTGAACAAATGCAAAGATATGTTTCCCTTGGATTTACAAACACCTTATTGTTCCCCTTTGAGTGAGCAATTCTATTTGAAGTTCCATTTGCAGAACTCTATCTTAAAACAATAATCATGGACAACTAGATGGGAGTAGTTCTTTGGCAATAAGAGTGGGAATGACCAAGTGGAAAACTAAAGAGCGAATCACAATATTCACCTAGACTGAAGCAGCCCACAACATCTTGAGAGCTCTGTATGGATTGCAGTTCCTCCAAAATGGAAATATTGAAATCCCAACCCCCAATGCAATGGTATTGGGAAATGGGGTCTTTGGCAGGTAATTAGACCATGAGATTAGTACCCTCATGAATAGAATTAGTGCTCTTATAAAAGACATGAGAGAGGCTGGGTGTGGTGGCTCAAGGCTGTAATCCCAATACTTTGCGAGGCCGAGGTGAAAGGACTACCTGAGTCCCGGGGTTCGAGACCACCCTGGGCAACTTAGTGAGAGCCCGTCTCCACAATACATCAAAAAATCAGTTGAGCGTAGTGGTGTGTGCCTATAGTTCCAGCTACTTGGAAGAATGAGGGGGAAGGATCACCTGAGCCCAGCAGGTTGAGGCTGCGGTGGCCGTGAGCATGTGCCACTGCACTCCAGCCTGGGTCACAGAGTGAGATTCCAACTCAAAAAAATATAAAAAAAAGAGAGACACGAGAAAGACGATTTATCTGTTGGTCATGTATGTGAGGACAGAGTAAATCTGCAAACCAGGGAGCGGCCTTCACCGGGCACTGGACTCACTGGTACCTTGATCTGGGACTTTCCTGCCTCCCTAACTGCAAGACACGAATATTTGTTGTGGTGCTCTGTTATAGCAGCTCAGTGACTCTTACAAAGCACAGAACCCCCAGATCCAGAAGTCAAGTCCCATAGCGTACCTCCCCCCCATCCCGTCGCCCCCATCGCAGCACTGGCCACACGGACCCCCATCACTCGGCGCACAGACCCTCCAACAACGACTCGCCGATCTCACCCTCTCCCTGTTCCTGACCCCACACGTGCCCAGCGATCAACCTAGAACTTCCCACGAGTGACCTCACAACCTCCTCTCCTGACCCCCTCGGACCCTGCCTCCCATTGCCAAACCCAGACTCCCCAGTCGCCGCACACAACCCCGTTGCGACCCCCAGCTCGGTCCTCCCGGGCACGCCCGTCACCGCTCGATGGGGGAAGCTGTCACATCCATCTTGGCGAAACCGCCGGCTTACAGAAGCTGAGGCGCTCTGGGTCCTAGGCGGTTTTGCCCATCCCGCCCCTTCGGCGGCTTTGTCCAGGAGGCAACATGGCCGCCCCCAAGGCGCTGCTGTGGGAGCCGCCATCTTGGGGGTCCGTCCGATTCCGTACGACCCAAGGGATTGGACTAGCCGCGAGCCCTAGGTCGGGCTGTACCACCGCGTCAGCGAGGGGAGAGGAAGAAGGACTGCGAGACCAGCCGGCGAGGTGCAGAGAGATTTTACAAGAGATCGGGGAAGAAATCGGAGTGATACCGCTTTATGTTGGAATGATGATTTTGGCGAAAGAGGAAGGACTACATGAACTTGTTTGTAGATGGTACAGTCCTCTCCCGGACGGTTCTGCCGTACGATAGGGGGTGAAAACATGGATGGAACTGGCCTCCCCGGGAGTTTCCACTGTCTGTGCTGGGGGCGGGGGCGGGGGCGAGGGCGAGGGTTTCGTCCAAAGTGATGGGAGCATTCACTTGGGGAGGGGATTAACAATAATGATGAACTTCTTGTTAATAACAATCGCAAGAAATCCTCCAAGGGGGAAATAATAGTACTGGATAGTGTAAGTTGCAGGGGTCGACTGAAAAAGAAAAAGGAAAACTGAAAGAGAGGGAAGAGGAGACTAAGGCTCAAAATAAAGGAGACAGTGAGGCAAGGAGAGAGACTAAGGGACAGAAAGACGCAAGATGTAAGAACTGAGACTGGGGGAAAAGGGGCCTCAGCGAGAGCCTGAAGACAGAGGCGAGGGACAGTGAAGGAGAGGGGACAGTGAGGGCGATGGAAGACTGAAGAAAGGGGCCCTGACAGAAAGGAAGGGGAGATTGAGGTAGAAGACCAGCCGCCCTGGCTCACCTGTCACTGTCTCAAGATGAGCAATAAAAGTCCTTTTGTCACTAGGATAGTCTTGATGGGGAAGGGTGAAAACTGTGGGTTCCCCCTCATAGTCTCTGAAGAAAACCTAATATATTTCCCCCTTATTTCTTTCTCTATAGATGTAGTGCTCGAAGGGTCCTGCCCCCTGTCAGACACTAGAGGATCCAGACTCTCTGCATGACCCATTTAGATTGGAACAGGCCAGCACAGACCAGCACCCCCCCTTACCTTAAGCTCATTAACATGTCATTATAGTGTTAAAAATCCCTTCCTTACAGGTAAATCTCCACCATTTTGTGTACATGTAACACATGTTTGTGAACTGCAACTGCATGTCTGGAGTTCCACCTGTTCACGCCTGCATACCTTCCCCATTCCACACCAGACTCTTTAAACTCCTGCACATTTCTCTGCTGGGCAGAAGGAGCTTTCAGAGCATGAGCTCCCCTTCTCTATTCTCTGGCCAGCAAATAAAAAAACTGATTGCCTTTCCCAATCATACATTCTTTCTTTGCCACTCACACAAAGTAGAGAAAGGACGTGGTTTACTAGTGGCACTTTGTGTCCCCAAAAATTCCTCCATGAGACTTTGGGACCGGATGAGTTGGAAAAATTGCAAAGAAAGTACAAAACCTTGAGGTGGACCCAAAAGTGGGGCTGAAAGCAACAGCTTTTACTGCCAAGTGGATGGGGCATGGATTTTGTGCCTTTCCTAGTTGCTCTTGCTATTTTTCCCCAACCTCTGATGCTGGTAACCATGGTTTGCAGTTTGCAATAATGGATTATCCATTGTCGTGTCACTCAGGAGTACTGGGATGTAAGCTTGTGACTTAAGTGCGTTATAACCACTAACATCAATAGTCTTTGGTGGTGAGGATAAACTGTTGGACTTTGTACCAGTTATACTGTTATTTTAATTTTTAGATAATATTTATATTATTAAAATAAATAGTGTAACCATGTTTTCTAAGAGCTCAGACAATCAAAATGAGTTTGATTATAATACCAACACCAGCATGATCCAGACATCCAGAAAAAGACTCTTTCTTTAATGATGGTTGTAAAGATGTCAGGGAAACACCAGGATTGCAGTCATGTTGCTCACCACACAGAAAGTCAATTACTGAGACAAGTATTGCCAGGAAGATGGATTGTAGGATTGTAGAAAAGAGAAACTAGGGAGGGACCGGGAAGGGAATTTGGCAAAGAGTGGAGTCTGGCTTCTCTTTGTCTGGATATGGTGATCTGGTGAGTTTCAGTTCCTTGACAGTATAGGCCTGAGAGTTGTTCCCTGAGAAAGAAACTCAGATAAGACATGTACATTTCAAGCTTTAAAATGAGTAGGGTCAATTTCTACACTATTCAAAAAAGTATAACTATTAATTTCATGGGAAAATTTGTATTGTTTCAGTTCCCCCTTTTCTACTTATCAATTCTTCAATTATGGGGAATTAGATTGTTGATATGTCTAACTGCTTCATGTTGTGTAGAGACATTGTAGAATAATGATAAATTAAAACATTGCACCTGTAATAGGGACTTACAAGTATCTGGTTGGCATCCAATTTGTTGGAGTGCCATGATCTGGGTACTTTTATTTTTTAAAACATCTAAAGCCATATTGACCAGGATGTTTAATAACACAGATAGTTCAAATTTTAAAATACTGGAAACTATAGAGTGGATCCTGGGGGAATCCAAAAGAATAATCCTGAAAAGTGTATGGTCCCTTTGTGATTTCCAAAAACCAAAAGCCAAAGAGAAAGGTTGATATTCCTTTTATAAAACCAGCCCCTGTAGCTTGTATATGAAGCACATTAGCTGCTTTATCTGGGGTGCTCCACTTGGCATTTGTAGGTGGAATCAGATGGTCCCCCTTCTCAGGGCAAACAAGCATCTCAGTTGCTTTTACCCAGTCCACTATGTAAGATAAAAGAATATCAGGCTATTCTCTTGGGAATAATCTCTTGTGTGTCTGGCTCATATATGCCCATTGGCAGATGCTCAGCTGTGAACTGTGGCTCCTGCATCATCCAAAACATGCTATTATACTTGCACAATTGAAAACCAAAGACATTCCTCCCAAATTAGTTACTCTATCAGCCATTTTAGTAAAGGTTCCTCAGGAAGCTGATGATACTGATCTACAAAATGGAACAATTCCTTCATTTTATACCCCTTAGTTTCACTAGTCACTTGATTTTGCCCTTCCTCCACATTTACCACCTTCTTGGAAGTCATAAGTTTCAGAGTTACTTTCTAATGCCCTGGCATAATTTTCCCTTTTGTGGGTAGCTTGTGAGGCTAAGGATCTGAGCCAGGCAAACCCACATATGAGCTTTGTCCAGGCTCAAAGGCCAAACCAGCACTCTCTCACTTTCATTTTAGCTATCAAAGATAACAGCAATCAAGAAATTGACTATTTCTCTTTTTCTTTTCTTTTTTTTTTTTTTTTTAATTGAAGTCTCACTCAGTCACCCAGACTGGAGTGCAGTGGCTGCTCCCGGCCACCGCAGCCTCGACCTGCTGGGCTCCGGCGATCCTTCCACCTCAGCCTTCCAAGTAGCCAGAATTACAGGCATGCGCTACCACACCCGGCTGATTTTTTGATTTATTGTAGAGA